CTTTTTTAGGAAATAGGTAATGTTCTCTGCTTCATGGATGTTTGTGATGGATGAGTGAGTGTTAAATGCTTGCGAAAAGACTCAGGTAAGTTAGCCGATCTTATCACATTCCTCATCGCCACCATCACCATCATCATCATCACCACCATCATCCTCATCCTCAACATCACCATCATCATTAACGCTACCATCATCACTATGACCACTGTCATCACCACCATCATCATCACCACCATCATCACCAAGACTAAAACACAGGAAAGCAATATTGGCTACCAGACACATTAACTGGATTGAGAGCTAATTAAGCTTTCATAATCTAAGTAGAATTTACAGGGTTTAGAGCAGGGGGCTTCAGATTTACATTAACTCTGGAAACCCTTTAAGTCTATTTTCTGAATCAATTCATAAACTAAACCTTACATCTACAAAGTCAGGACACAATTTCCTCTTGCAACTAAGGGATAAAGCAGTTGGTAGACTGGTTCTAGATACATGGAAAAGTTCTAGAAAGACACAAAATGGATTATAATTTGCTGTACTCGCTATTCAAAATGAAAACTGTCTTTGTGTGCAGCAAGAGCTTCAGGGACAATCAGAGACCCATCAATGAAGCACATAAAATGGTGAGTTGTTTTATCGAAATAGTGCACATAGGGTGTAGCAGAACAATCCATTATACACCTTCAAAGTAGTGTTGTCAAGATACCAGGAAACAGGAGTTAGTACTTTAAGGAAGAAGTCACCACCCTTCATTCTAATGGGAGTTCAGAAGACCAGGGTGTCTGCAGAATCACGCTCACTAAAGACTGGGCTCATGGGGTATCAGAGGAACCAAGAAAAAGGGTTCCTTAGAAGAATGGCAGATATTAGGGGGAATGACCCAGTCCCTTCATTAGACTGCCCACTCTTTATTTTACAGTGATGGAAAGAAATTGTTCATTATGATTGTCCAATTAAAAAAAAAAGGATATTCTACTTCTGGGATGTTTTCCTAGATCTTCAGAATCATTACTGGTTACAGCCTGGAATAGATGCAATTTCCTAAAATCCCCACCAATCACTGGTATATGGCCTTCCTCTGGTGTCACTCTACAGGTGTGGTACATAGCCTGAAGCTCCGTGTGCATAAGCATTGACAAAGACATGTTTCCATAGCTCATGACGTAACCCAATTATACAGCTTTCCCATGGAAGATGGAGCTAGTCAAGGGCATAATGCTTGCACCAAGGTTCCCGTAGAGAGTCTGGATGGCCAGGAAATGCATACTAGGCCATCTTCTCAATTAGGAACCTCTGAGAAGATTAGTCATGAAGCTTTAAAGAGGAGCCTAAGTTACTATGAAGAACTCAGGATGTGGGGCATACCAGAAATGGGTGATATCGCTAAAGCGACCTACAGACACCTACTGGACATATCTCAAGAGAGAGCCATGTGTGCTCCGTATGTCAGGCCAAAGGATGAGCTAAGGCCTTTGACGTCCACCACGTGACTAAAAGGCTTGACGTGGAGCTGCAGATTAGTTTGCCCTGCAGGGCTTTGATCTTGGCTTAGCCCAGTTTTTCCTTGTTGTGACTCTTTTTCCTTAGGGGATGGCAGTGTTTAGTCTGCACATCGCATATTGGGAATATAGAACTCTTGTATTTTTCCAGGCACTCACAGCTAAGAGGGTGCCTTGAATCTCAGTGAAAACTTTGGAGTCTTCAAGTCTTGAGGCTACCAAGGCCTCAGGGACTTCTACGGCTCAACCAGATTCCTAGTGTGTTATGAGATGGCCATAAGCCTTTGAGGTCTGGGGTGGAGTGCAATGATTTCCATCTGAATGTCCATACAGCCTCATGAACACTGAGTCTTTGACTTGAGGCACTATTTTAAAGGCTGCAGAACCTTTATGCAAAGCAACCTGGCTCCACCAGTAAGTCATGGAGGTCCCTGAATGTGACACTCTTTTGGAGTTCTATCTGCCATCTTCGGTTCTATAAGTAAGGCATCTCTATCACATCCTTTTGCCTCCTTGGAGGAGTGTCCCTGCCACCATGAATGAAAACCCTGTGAAGCCGTTAAGAGAGATAAACCTCACTTCCCTTAAATTCTTTCTCCCGGTATTTCTTTGGCTAAGAAAACCAATACCGCACCTCGGCTACCTAGTGCCCAAGCCTGTTTCTTTATTCTCTTCTGCGTTATTCCCATCAGCGTTGCCAAGATTCTTCACAATGCATCTCATAGCCGCATGTGCCCCACAACCTTTGTTCCATTTCTTCTATAAGCCAAGCATTTTCTGTATGCTCTCTGCCAGGTTGTTTAGCGTCTTCTTGTTCCACACACTCCCCGATGAACTCTCAACAGGAAAGAAAAATGTCTTATAATTACTTGAGTTAAATTATTTGGCTTACATTTTCTACTGCACGTTCACCTAAAGGTGATAACTGATTTTAAAAGCTGTATCTAAATATATCTAGAATAATCGCTTCTGATGAGTATAAAGATTCTAATTGAAGGAAATCATGGGGTCATGGTTTAATTGGCCACATGTTTTCTTTGTGGAACGCATAATACAAGTGTGCCTGCCAATCAGTGCATGTGAGGAGCGGAGTTCACTGCTGCTGCCACGGCCTTAAGCAGAAATATCTGTCATTTCCCTCCTAGCAAGAATTCTTTTCCTTCCTTCATGAGATCTTATCTCAAGTTTAAATTAATTTTTCTATTTCCATGGTTGGGAGGGGTCATAGCTTCATCTGTCCACTCAATACAACCCAGGATCACATGAGAAGATGGACCCACAACTGAAGAATTGCCCAGACCGGATGCTCTGTGGCCAAAGCTGTGAGGCATTCTCTTAGATACCAGTTGATGTAGGCGGGCCCAGGCAACTGTGCCCATACCATCCCTAAGTAGGCACAGCTGAGCAAGCCAAAGGCTACGAACCTTAAGGAACTGCTCCTCCCTGGTCTCTGTTTCGGCTCATAATTCCAGGTTCCTGCCTTGCGCTCCTGCCTTGGTCTTCCTCACCTATACAATGAAGTAAATCCTGCCTTCCTCGAGTTACTTTTGGTCATGGTGCTCAGGACAGCAAGAGAAAGCGAACTAGCACGGGGTGTTTGAAACCCAAACCAAAGTTCTTTGACTTGTCCCCACTATACGCTGTATCACAGGGCTCCTGATAGGCTTTTCCTATGTGTGTGTAGGCAATCGAGTAGATGGAAACCTGGCTGTGGGAAGTCCTTCTACTAGTTTAAAAGGACATGAATAGGCAAAAGAGTGTCAGCTGAACCCCTTCCCACATTTTACCTATTAACTTTAAAACAAGCGATTCTCTGGCAAGGCAACCCTCTAGGGCTTTGTAAAAGGCATGGATGGGGAAGGCAGTCGAGTTCTTGGTGAGTAGTGTGTCAGGACAAACTTTTAACATGAGCTCACCGGGCCTACCAAGTGGACCTTATTAGTGAAATGGTCTGTCTGTACCTTCTGCAGGGATGGTTGCAGACCCTGAAAAATGTGGTTTCCAGAAGACAGAAGAAAAGAATAAACATAAACACAAGTCTTCAAATATCTTGTGTGTCTCCAAAGCAAACAGTCCCCATCTGGATTTCTCTTTGGGCAGCGACAGATACAAACCAGGTTGAAGAGAATCTGTCTGGCGTCGCTCAGACCCTTATGTAAAGAGGGGAAAGCAACTTTCTTTCTAGACACAAAGTAATAAGAAGTAAACTGGAGTTTGGAGCAGCTATTAAATATGTAAGTGGGCCATCAATCATAATTAAACAGAAATGGAGCCCACTCTCACTTCTTTATTGCCTTTTTCCATGGTGAGGCCCCTAAGAGAAGCCTAGGGAATGTACCATCGTCCCTCTGTATCTACACGAAGGTCAGTTTCACTCCTTCCAGACAGCGCATGGTTTGTTTACACAGTTCAGGCACCATCTTACCAGTGCTGTAGAATGGAAAACACACGCCGGCCCACAAAGGGATGCCAACTAAGTGTCTATGGCTTGTGCTGAGAAAGCATTTAGGAGGACAAGGCAGACCTAAGAGGCTGAGCCAGTGAAAGGTGAGGATTTCCCTCCTCCTGGATGATGAGACTGAATGAGCGAGTCCTCACACTGCTCTTTCATGGTCTGCGGATTCATGATGCTAGCCGACAGCAGGGCTTTCCCTGGAGTTTCTCAGTGGGTAATTTATATCTGCATTTCAAAACATTAAAACATCATTTACGATCTTCAGAAAATTATGGGAAGGGATTATTTTTTAAATAAATTAGATGACAATTCTAGAGAGGAAGTGTTCACTTCTAGCTTGTAAAGTGATTTGTTTAAAAAAAATTTTTTTTTTTTTTGGTTTCTTTTTGAAATCTTTTCTAGACTGTTACAACCATATGGGCCAGCAGGGGACAGTGATGCTTCATCACAAGACTGAAATCTGCTCCTCAGGCTCCACAGGAAGAATTATTCCAACATTTCACTGCAAATCAAACCGTAATTATTAGCTAATGTCCTATCCCACCACCAACCTCAAAGGTCATCAGAGTATGTTTTATAAATGAAAAGAAATGGTTAGCTCTAATTACATGTAAAATGAGTCTTATACGCTCTGAAATGCTGGTTTCTTTGGGTTTTTACTTTTCATCTTCAGACTGAGTGGGTTATCATACACAATACAAAAAAATGGACACAAGGACCCTTCATAAACTGGACTGGACGCACCACAGTTTAACCTGAGGATGCTGATTGGCTGTCTCCATGGTTTAGAGCAATTCCCATCTGTGTCCTGCGGGCTCAGGACCTACTGAGTTGCACAGTAAGACAATTAAAAATGTACGTAAGACAATTTAAACCACTTAAATGAAAGATTAAATAAGGAAGTAATTTTTTTCCAGGGGTAGGCAGGTCTGTATTTTTCAATTTAGCACGTACACAGAAGAGAAATATGAACTTTGGCCTAGGCACCCTGAGGTGGAGTTGGAAACTCAGCAGTGATTGGAACACGGGGTGCAGTGTGGGGAGATGCCATCACTCCTGTGAAAAGGGTGACATCATTGAGACGGCAAAGAACAGTGGAGGCTGAGGCAGAACCTTCCAAGGGATGGCAGATTTGGAGGACTCCCGTTCAATGTGGTACCATCACCCTAACTCAAAACAAATCCAGCAGGACCTGGAACAGTGGCTGGAGGCTCCAGAAGATTTCAGGTAAATACAGAGAGGAGTTTGCAGTCAACAGCACCTATGAGCAGGTGGAGGTTTCTCTGAGAATTCTCTAGATTCAGACAGAGCTGAGCTCAGTGGGCCCGGGACAGGCTTGTGTTCAACGTGCAATCTCCATTTGTAAGATCTGGATGGGATAGCATACACTACCAGGGAACTGTTCCCATTGATCTCCAAGGACTTCCTATTGTCTCAAGCTCCACTGTGGTGACAAACATTCAGCTGTCTATGTTTGAAGAACTGACCTCTCTCTCTCTCTCTCTCTCTCTCTCTCTCTCTCTCTCTCTCTCTCTTTCTCTTTGAATGCTTTGCCTAATTCAGGTGCTCAGGTGAGTGTGTCTGTGTAAGTGTGGCAGAGACTGAGTGGATATTGACCAGCCAAGTCTCTTTACACAATATTCTATGGCAAGCCCTAGTCCACTGCCATGTGCCCATCACTGTACAGGAAGTGCTGAGATGCTCCAGTCTGTGGTCTCCTTGCATATGGCTCCCTTTACATCATAGTTGCTTCCTGCTGAAGTTGCAGAGTTGACTCAGCCTTCATCCCCCTGTTCCTCACCAGGCTAATCCAAGCCTCTTCTCTTCCCAGCCAAGGCCCAGGTACCTCCCTGTGTTCAGCCCACTGCCTGGAGGGTCTTCATTAGCCCCACTTTGTGCTGGTAAAGGCCAGCATCTAGGACAGGCTCTCAGGGAGTTACCGCATGTCACACATCATCTAAGTGTGAGGATATTGGGAGGCCCAAGCCATACATCTAACCTGGTAGGCAAGCCCACTGCATTCTATAGAAGTTTGGGTTAGCTACAAATAAATAAATAACAGATATTAATGTGCTCATCAGCCAAAACTACTAGTAGTTAGTAAACAAGACTGTTTTGCTTACTTAATTTACTAATACGATTGTAAGAGACATAAAAAGAATCAACCTTGATCCATGTCAGTATTATGATTGATTCCGGTGAACCATTGAAGTTCAGAAGCGGGGAGACTGGATATTTATCTCTCCTCCCTGCTCATCTGTGCAATCCTACAAAACACCAGTAAAAAAGACTATTCTCCTTATGGGAAAAGTACAATCAAATATCATTCAACTCCTAGAGCGTGTTAACGTATGTAAGATCGTCATAGTACCTTACTCATGGGAAATATCCCATCTGTGTCTCCTTCTATTAGAATCAAAAAATAGCATCAGGTCATTTCTGGCCATGAGTGTTGGTAACTCTTTTCTTAGCTGTGACTTTGGACCTAAAACAGTGCCTGGTGTTCACCGCACTGAGACAGTTGCAGGGAAGCATCAAACTTACATAACGATTCTAGAGCATCTGGGTTGACAGGGCTCCCAGAGCACTGTACCCATGCAGCGTGTGATGGGCATGCTTGCATTTATCAGTGGAGATAATGACCACACAGAGGAAAGGCTGACACGTAGGCAAGTCCTTCGAATATAATAACAGTAAATAATTATATGTATTATAATAAATAATACTATGATAATTATTGCCATAATTACCATAGCAACTCCAACAGTGTGGAAAATAATAATTTTAGATAAAATAATCCTTCCGATGCCGTTGGACCCCCCGATAATCACATGCTGTGGAATCTGTGTCAGATGAGGAAACAAAGTCACAGCGAGTCTTCTGATGCCGGGGGTGACACAGAGGAAACTCTCAAGTTATAACAACTCAATTTCAAAGCCAGGTTTGCTGAGCCCCCTATCCAAGCTCTTCACTGTAAGCCTACTTGGTCCTGTTGAGGCTGCTCAAAGATGGATACAATTCACTCTCACAAAGGGAAGCTTAAGTGGCAGCAGCTATGCATTAGTCCGGAGAAGAAAGCAAGCACATTCCCAGGCTACAACATCACTCATTTTATTTCACACGAAGACACCTCGTCGGCATCCGAACCAGGGAACCTACTGACTGCACTGAGTGTGGAGCATTTGGCCACGCAATCACTGAGCATCTCACACAAACTGAGTGACTGTGTACTGGGCTTGGCATCATGGGATGTAAGCCCAACCAGGTCAAGACACAGGGGAGCCAATGAGTTGTGCAAGCATCAGCTTTGGGAAGCAGAGCAAGTCTGAAATGCAGAGTTGAGTGGAAGGGTCCAAGTGAGGCACCACGGATGTCTTGAGCAGCTGCCACGCAGACTGTGGCTAACCCAGCTGTCCCGGTCCCTGTGATCTTGTGATTGCTCCTTTAGCTTCTTCAAACCAGAGCTGTTCTGAAATGGCTCAGACACACTCTGGAAGAACCTTATCATACTCCATTTACTCCTGAGGGATCAGAACTGGCGGGTCAAGTGCTGTGCCCTGGTCTAATCAGCTATTTCAGGTTTGACCAGTTTCCTTACGGTAGTGGAACAAAGTGGCTGGGTGCATTTCCTGGTTTTCATTGTTTGTGGTTAGCATTCTTGTTTCTTTAAGGGCATGGACACTGGAGGTCCATGGCTGAAGGCTGTGATCATCCTTTGAAAGGAGAGTCAAGATATCTCAATTATATAATAATTATAATATATAATAATAAATGATATAACTCTTCAATTAATGTGTTTATTTCCCCTTTAACCTTGTGCCGTCCTTGTGGATACTTTCAGGACAAAGAAGTAATCAACTATCTCCTAAACCTGAACTCCAAATATTTCACTAGAGATAGTTATTGTTTTATATCTAGGCTGTGTGTGCTGGTGTATGTGTGTGTGTGCTTGTGTGCACATGTATGTGAGTATCTCTGTGCATGGTGTTTGTGTGCACACTTTTGCGTGCAAACATGTGTGTATGTGAGCATGTGCAGGTGTGTGTGAGCAGGTATATTTGTTTTTGTGTACTTGTGTGAACATGCAGGCCTGTGTATATTATAAGCAGGTGTTTTTGTCTTTCTGTGTATATTTGTATGTTTATGCAAGTATGTGCAGGTATGTACTTGTGTGTATGTTTATGTGTAAAGTGTGCTTGTGTATATTGTGTGTATTAGTATGTACAAGTGTGTGTTAGTATGTACAAGTGTGTGTGTGTGTGTGTGTGTGATAGTCTTCTGTAGGGACAAAGGGCCAGATTGTGATTTCTAGCAACAAATTTTGAGAGAAAAACCTGGTTAATGTTTAATCTGAAAGAAAAATAAAAGGTTTTCTCATTAACTAGGCTTAAGAAAATCCAAGTCCACTTTGAACTATTAATAATTACTGATACAAAACCACATTTGCTTGCTGAAAAATATGAGACATTCTTTTCCCTTGTTCTTTCTCATTCAGATGCTGGCAGAATTTACACTTTAATTCTAAATGACAGATCAAAATTAGTTTTCTAAAGACATTATTGGGCAATACTTTTTAAAATTTGTCTACTAGTGACTCAGATATTTTGGGAATTTTCACATCATTCTCGGATCAACTTCCACATCAAGGTGGCAGGATCATTAACTCCTAAATAGAATTTAAAATTTTACAATATGACAAAAACCCTTATAACTAAAAACAAGTAAAAAGAGTGTAACTAGTCACACAGCATGTATAGTTTTGTCCATAAAATTTTAAATGCCATTTGTGTGTATGCCCCTGAAGACTTTAAATCTTCTAGTCGGTTGTCTATCGTTCTTGCTCAGGTCTATGGTGAGTTCACACTGATGTTTCAGAGGAGAGTGCTGCACACTGGATCATGCTGGTGCCTCAATGTCTTCTCTGGCTCACACCTTCCTATAACTGATGGTCTGCTCTTTGCCAGACACTTTGCTGAGCACTTCTGTTTTTTCATTGCCAGACTGTTCCACTGAATGGGGATGACGGCCATCCCGGGTGTATGTAGGACTTGAGGATGGGGACCTAGAGGTGCTAAGCACTAGATGGGAGGAGCTGAGCTGGACATTTACACCAGACCTTTCAATTCTGTAATTTTACCATGGACATGGGGAGTGTATTAAAATGTAAAAAATCAAAGTGGTTTCCACCCTTTGAGAAAACTGAAGACAACATATAGACAAAAATATCTCTATAATATGATTTTATTCAAAATACTACTATTTGGTAAATACTATAGGAAGCAGGGAATTCACGTACACTGAGTGTCTAGAGTGTGCCATCAAGCCCACTGGGGACTTTAGATGTTATATCTCACTTATGGTTGAATTTCACTGTTAAGGGAGTGATTTAGGATTCCTTTGCTCTTTCCAGGCAGAAGGCATCCCACAGCCTCATGTGTCTAAATACTTGGTTTTAGGCTAGTGGTTCTGTTTTGTAAAATGGTCAAGTCTTTAGAACATGGAATCTCTCCCTAAAGGAAATGGGAATCCAGCTTGTTAGTAAGGAGTGAGACGTCATTGTTGTGAGCACAGCCAAGGCATGCTTAGCTGGTTGGCATGAACTCATGAAAACTTGTGCTCTTTTCCCATGTGAGGGGCATGTCTCAGACCACACTGCTCTGGGGCTAGTTAGAAATTTTTTTGTCTCAGTATTTTCTAGGTGGCCAGTGAAAGCTGATGAATTAGACAGAACAGGGTCTAGAGTATTTTTGGAGAATCCCAATCCTTAAGTTTGGAGTATAAAATAATGAACTCAGGAAAAATTCCAACTTCAATTCCAAAAATTTGACACCTGAAGTTTTTACCTTTGATTCAGATAGGGCTTGACTAAATCCATTTGAGAACAATTACCTAGATAGTCAAGATACTTGCCCAGATAGTCAAGAGGTCTTGTGACTAAATACAAGAATATAGGAATATCAGGGCTGGAGAGACAGCTCAGCAACCACGAGCATGTTCTGTATTTACAGAGGACTCAAGTTTGCTTCCCAGCACCCATGTCAAAGAATTCACAGCCTGTAAATCCAGTTCAGAGATACCTGCTGCCCTCTTCTGGCCTCGTAGGCACCTGCCGCACATGCATGTATACTCACATAGACAAAAACACAAATATAAATACAATAAATCTGTATGGATATGCGGTGAGATGAGTTGACAGTTGGGAATACACTGTAGAAGACAATGTGGTCAAGATCTCTGGCAATAAAGGAATAGGAACGGGACTGAAAGGACTTAGCTTACAGGGGAATGTCGGAAATCAGTGCCCAAGTCATCTTGCTGTTTCATGTTTCTCCTGGTGCTGTGGGAAATCCTTCAGCCAGTAGCCTTTAAGATACCCGCCCACTTGGGCGTGGCCTCCTACACTATAAATGCCGATGTAATGTTCGTCTCCACTCTCCCAGCTGCTGAATTTAGTTGCTGTTTTTCTCATTGGAGCAGAGGACTGTGATCTGAGAGTCTACCCCTAAATAAATAACCCTCTATTGTACTCAATTTTGAGCTAGTGTGGGATTTCTTTTTAGCATCCGTCTTCATTCCGGGGTCACGGTGGCTCAGGTGGAGGTCCAGTTCAACAAATAGGGTTTTTCCGCTTTTTGATCCCATGGTCCTTACAATAGAGCATTCAGTGGCTGCGATGTAAACCCCACAAAGAGCGCTGCCTATCCACGCCGATTGGAATGTATGCATTTCTGGAATCAAGATGCCCTTATGAGAAATGGAAATTACCTTTAACAAATGTGAACTGCTTTTGATATATTTCACCGAGGATTGGCCACCAGAAATCTTGAAGTTAATGTATGGGTTCTTAATCACTCACAAACTCACTGAAATAAAGATGAGAGGAATGTGTTCTGTGAGAAGCTTGCCCACGCGTATCGCGCCCCCTCCCCTTTCCCAGGTGACAGGATGGGACTGGTTCCATGCTGTCCCATCTCAGCTTAATCCCTTGCTGTTACTGAGAAGTGGAAAATGCAATTAAACGCACTTCTGAAACCCTCCCCAGAGTGTGGCTTGCATTAGGCAGGCAGAGCATGGGGACAATGTGGACAGGCCGTTAGAGCCGGTAGTGTCGCAAAGCTTCTGGGAACCAGTTTGTCAACTAAACTGTCCCGTTGGCAGCTGTTAGGATCAATCCTAGGTTATTAAAGGAGCGCAGTTTAAATAAACACACTGACAAGTTTTGTTGGGGATGGGGCTCCACCTTGGAGGACTAGCAGGAGGTTGCATGAGGGCCGGCTGTGGGTTCTATTTTACCCTGAGTGATTCAATGACGTTTTTAGTATTAGCAGAATTTAAGCTGAGGTTCCCAATAGTGTAGGCAGGGACCCCAGCCTTATGCATTATTCACATTTTAGGTAAGCAGGGGCTATCACGCAAGCTGCCCCCCCCCACACTTCACTTCTTTAGTTTAAGAATATTGCTTTCTAGTCTCACCATAGGCCCATTTGCATCTCTTACTGGGAAATCATAAACAATAGTGACAGGGATTTAAAATAAGATGTTAAGTTCTCAAATCCCCTTGATTCATTTGGTGACCATAATCAGGCCACCTAGCCTGCTGCTGGTGTGGCTTATCTGTTCTCACAAGCATCTTCCACTGAAGAGGGGATTGATTGAGTCTTCTACCTACAGTGTCTTTGGAGACACACTGGATGTAAACCCGATGGGGCAAGCACAAGAGGAGACTATTTCCTCATCATATTCTCCAAAACAGAGAAGAGGCTGGCATGGTCAATCTTATGAACATCTTGTTCCCCTTGGAAAGCTCTTTCTTCTGTTTCTCTCAGTCCTCATGTTCCCAGGTGCTCATCTCTGCTCCTGAGGTGGAGGCTCTTTCATCCAGCGCTGTGTGCCTCCTCCTCTTCCACGTCTCGTTTTCATTGGCAATAACCTCTATCTTTTTTTTTAAATTTAAAAAAATTTTTTTAATTTATTTATTTATTAAAGATTTCTGTCTCTTCCCCATCGCCGCCTCCCCTTTCCCTCCCCCTCCCCCAATCAAGTCCCCCTCCCTCGTCAGCCCAAAAAGCAATCAGGGTTCCCTGCCCTGTGGGAAGTCCAAAGACCACCCACCTCCATCCAGGTCTAGTAAGGTGAGCATCCACGAAACTGCCTAGGCTCCCACGAAACCAATAGGTACAGTAGGATCAAAAACCCATTGCCATTGTTCTTGTCTTTTAAAGCAGAATTGGAGAGCTGCGTGCAGTCTCCGTGGAAATGGATTGGAAGCACTGACATTTCTTCCCCCAGCCTGTATCTGCTGCTCAGTCTCAACTCTTCTGTCTCCACGACCCGCCCAGCTGTCACTCTTTGCTAAGTTTGCTAAACAAACATAGGGTGACTGGAAGTCTTTATCTGCGTGGAGAGTCTGGTGCTGGACAAGCACAATGGGGAGTGCTCAGGATCAGGGTGCTGTGAAGAAGACATGGGTGTGTCTTCCGTGAACCCTAGGATCTCTGGATGTACCAGCAGCAACATAGACTTTTCCTGGCTTGTTCAAGGCTGGTCAAAGCAGCTCCTGCCTCACACTTCTCAGACCCAGCAGGTCATATGTCAGTCATGCTGACATCAGGGGGACTAGGAAGCCAGGTGCCCACCACAGTCTCCTCACCCTAACCTCAGCCACTTTGAGTGACTAGACTGTGGCTCTGTTTTCCATTTGCATTTCATGGACTGACTTTATGTACTTGAGCCAAGCTCATACTTATCCCCGTGTCCCGTTGACTCCATATGCTGTAAGTAACCTTTAACTCTCTGCTGAACTGAAGGACTTGGCACTCCCCTGTCTCACTTCACAGTAAGCATTCAACACACGCAATACGCTTACAACCAACATACTACTTCTCAACCCACGCAATATGATTGCAACCGACATACTACTTCTTAAACAGGAACTACAGAGATGGGAACCTTCAACAGAAGGAAATTTGAGCAATGACCATCCTACTCCATGGCACCCTCTGGCGGTCAGTCTTTTTTATTCTTTCTAAGCTTTATTTTATTTATTACAGGTCTCATCCCTGCACTATACTGCTGGCTTTGTTTCCTGGGTCCCAGCAAGCCCACAACACATTCCCTTCAGCCATAACCACAGACTACCTACTCAAGGATAGTATAACTGTATAGTATAACTGTATAGTTTGAAAGAACTAAACACAGGAAAATATAAATACAATGTAAGAAAGGTATATTTATAGTCCTGTTACAAGCAATACATCTCAGAAAAAGGGAAGCAAAAACCACATGAAAAGCCTTATGGAGAAGGATGTTCTGAAGTGGCCTAGGTGGGAATAAAAATAGAAGGTGTAATGTGTGAAACCAACGTGAGAATTAAAGGCAAATGTGAGACCTGGAATGTTTCAGGGTGAGATGCCTTCTACAAGAAGGTACCAGGGAGTCTCCAGAGATTTTCCTGAGGTCAGACAGGGAAAGAGAGGTCAGGGGATGTTCAGTAGGAGAAGTGCTTTTTGCTGGCAGCCAGGGGAGTCAGGTCATAGCTCAGATCTGTCACAGCCAGACTGTATATTTTAAAATTATTTAACATCTCTCCTAGCTGTCTTCTTTGTAAGGTAGGCAGCATGGTTTATAAAGTTCAGTGATTAGTAAATCTTTTGGAGATCAAATGCAATTTGATAGCATTATATATAGAAATATCGCGAGCCCGTGACTTATTCTGATGAGTAACAACACCCTCCAACTTCTGAAGGTGAGACAACAGCGTGAAGTGAGACCGGAAGAGCCAGAAAACAGATTCACGGGAACAGAGTAGTTGCCAGGCTTTGTGATTATGATGTGGACCATCGTGACAGCTCTAGAACATGGGAATGCTGAATGTACGGCTACTAAGGGAAGATGCTTGCAGAGCTGCTTTGTGAGTATATAATAAGAGAACAAAAACAGCAGAGAGGGGGCTGTCGTTCAATATAAAGAGGCTTGGAATAGGATTACGATCTGGAGTGGAAAAGTTGTCATTGTAAAAGGCCAGACAGAAGATGTTCAATTTGGAAGCCATATTTTTTCTGTTGGCACTATTTAACTCTGTTAAAAAAAAGAAAAACAGAAATGGTCGCAGACAAAACACAAATGAATGGTCATGGCTGTGTTCCAGCAAAACTCTCTTTATAAACAAACAAACAAAAAAAAGCAGCAAGACCAGAATTGGCTAGTTGAATTATCTGACCACTAAGCAGAATGGTATACAAGACCTGTTGGTTTTCAGAAGGCTGAACTTCGAGGGATTGCACATGTTAGTGTCTGTAGCATTGCTGTGGGACAATGGTTTTACCCTTTAAAGATTTGTTTCTTGTACTTGTTTAATAAAATGCTGATTGGCCAGTAGCCAGGCAGGAAGTAGAGGCATGACAAGGAGAACAGGGGAATTCTGGGAAGAGGAAATCTCAGTTTGCAGTCATCACCCAGAGGAAGAGAAAGCAAGATGAGAATGCTTCACTGAAAAATGTATCAAGCCACATGACTAACACAGACAAGAGTTATATGCTAATGCAAGTTATAAGAGTTAATAAGAAGCCTGAGTTAATAGATCAATCAGGTTATAATTAATGTGGACCTGTGTGTGTGTGTGTGTGTGTGTGTGTGTTTAATAAATGGCTATGGAACCTGGTGGGACAGAAATCTCAGTCAACATAACATCTACCAAGCAACACCAATGTATAAATCAGCAAGAAGATGGACGTCGTCTTAAGTGAAACAAGAGTAGATTCTCTGTGAATAGGATTGACAAACCCTTAGGTCAATTAACCAAAGGAAAGGCATGGAACACACAAGCTAATGAAATTAGAAGTGATGGGAGAGATATGACAGCAGATGAAAATGAGATTCAGAAAACCGAGGACAAGCTTTCAAAACGTGTATTTCACAAAATTGGAAATTCAAAAACAGAGGGAAAGATTCTTGGATTCATACACCACAGTGAAATTAAGGCATGGCTAAATTAATAATTCAAGAAGATCTGTCTATAATGAGTAACAAAGTTGAAGAAGTAATAAATGCCCCCAACTAAAACATTGCAGGGACTAGATGGATTCGTAGTAGAATTCTACCAGAACTTCAGAGCAGAATTGACACCAGTATCACTCAAATAATCTGTTATACAGAAGAGAAAGGAAGATTTTTAAACAAAGAAGATTAGAGATCTGATGAACATCCATTCAAAAACCTCCTAATACACACTCAAAACCACGCCCAAAGGTTACAAAGTAACTTCATCTCAGAGAAGAATGGCTGGTTCCACAAACATAAATCAATAAATGTTGTCTATCATAAAATGACACAAAGGTAGAAATTATATGATCATCTTATCACACACACACACACACACATGCACATGTGCATACACACGTGTTGGGAGCTGTAAACCCCCAGATCCTGAATTTCTTGTAAACAAATTGTTTTCCCCTGATCTGAGTGTCTACAGCTGCTCTGAGCACGAGACCCTCAGGAGTTTCTGATTGCAGGGGAATGGTTTCTGGTGCGTTTGGCTGGGGTGTGGTTATCCCTATATAAGCTGCCCCTGAATACAATAAAGGAGGCATTTTGGGGACATTCTGGCATCAGGGATGACCTGTGTCTCTATCTCTGTCAGTCCGTGAGTCTTTGTGTGTTTCCAATCTCTAGCCCCTTGCTCAGTTTATGAACTGTATTGTAGCGCATAGTGCACAGATGGGTATGGTGCGCCACACACACACACACACACACACACACACACACACACACACCTGGAAATGAACCTAATCCAAGTGATGAAAGGACTTTACAATAAAATGTTAAGGCACTGACGAAATCAAGAAAGACTTGACTTCTTAGAAAGACAAGAAGAAGATGGAAACCCACTCCTGTACAAGGATTAAAATAATTAATATTATGAAAAATGACCACACTGCTATAAGCAATAAGCAGAGCCAATTTAATACCAACTAAAATAACAATGTTCTTTACACATACACGCAGAGAACATAAACAATTCAAAAATGTATATGGAGACCTAAAAGAATGTGGATAGCTGAAAGAAATGTGGACAAAAAGAATACTGTGGGAGATTTGACCGAACTTGGTTTCAAACTCCAAAGTCATCTCAGTAAAAATAGAATGGTGCTGGCCCAAAAGCAGACCCGTAGACTCATGGGCTAGAATTGAGGGACCAGATGTGAGTCTGCTCGACAACTGTTACCTGACTTTTCACAAGGATGTCAAAAATCCACATTGGAGGATGAAATCTTCAGCAAACAGCTCTAGGAAAACTGCAGATCAACGTCAGAGAAATGGAATTAGATCCTTACTCTTCCCCATGCACTGAAGAACTCCAAGTGGATCAACATTAAGAGCCAGTTCCCAGGATGGGCTGGAGAAAAGAAGCAGGGCGTTACACTTCAACCTATAGGCACAGGTAAGGACTTACTGAGCAAGACTGTAGTAGCACAGCAATAAAAAAACTACCAATGGAATCTCATGAGACTAAAATGTTTCTATATAGCAAAACAAACAGACATGAGTGAATAGACAGCTACCAGAATGGGAGAAAATCTCTGCCAGCTTTTCATCAGGCAGAGCATTAGGGTCTTAGACATACAAAGAATGGGGTGGGGCGGAATGGATACCCTAAACTCAGAAAACAAATGATCCAATTAAAAAAAAAATCTATAGAACTGAACAAAAAAAATACCAAAAGAAGAAATGCAAATTGTTAGGAAGTACTCTTAAAGCTGCTCAACATCTTTGACGTTACAGAAATGTGAATGAAAAAGAAGACTCTTCACCTCAGTCACAGTGGCCATCATCAGGAATACAAATGGCAGCAAATGATGGTGTGGATGTGGGGAAGACGCCGTATACACTGCTAGTGGGGATGCAAACGAGTGCAGGTACTTGAGGAAACAGAAGGGCTCTCAAGACCCCGCTACACCATGCTTGGCCTTATACCCCACGGCAGACATTTGCCGCCATGTTCTTTTCTGTGCTATTCACTGTAGCTAAGGAATAGAATGGATCTAGACGTCCATCCACAGATGAGTGGACAAGGACATGTGGCACATGCACGCTTTGAAATATCACCTAGCTGTGAAATTGGCAGGGAAGTGGATAGAACTGGAAAAAGGTATAGTGGGTGAGGTGATAAAAGCTGTATATACATTTTCTTTCAAACACAAATTCCAGCTTTTTCCCCCCCTAATCTTTTCTCCTCTATCAGTGGAAGCCATGGAAGTAGAAAGGGGACACAGGAAGGGAGGAGGATGCAGATTATATGTTAAATGAAAGTAACGGGGTGAAACATTGAGAGTGAAAAGCTTAACCAGGAAGGGATGTGGGATGTGGGGGAAATCGGTGGGTAAACGGAAGCTAACCAAAGGAACAGGGCGTGCAAAGCCAAACAGAAGCTACTGTCTCTTTTAAAAGGAGAGGAAGGATAAAAGAATACAGGTAAAGTCAAAGAAGAATGGGAAGTCCTGGTAGGTAAAAGATTATGCAGGTTGCGTGGGTAAGAGAGGGGAAAACCACTGGTGTATGAACTATAAAACTAAGGATCTATGAAAAGGCCTTGCTGAAAAGGTCTCCAAAACAGCACAGGCTTTTACCATTGACCTTGGTGACATACCATAACTACATGGTAAGACCCTACAGAGGAAGAAAATACTTGCTTTGGTTGCAGGACTAAAGAAACCAATCCAAAACCAACCAGGAAACTCCTCTGATGGTGAGCTTTCATACAGGCTTCTGGGGAAAAAAAGACATTAATGGTCTTAGCAGCTTTAGGACTGCAGACCACCAGAACCTGAATTTCTTGTAAACAACTTGTTTTCCTCTGCTCTGAGCAGGCTGCAGCTGCTCTGAGCACTGAGCACGAGACCCTGATGGCAGGGGAGTGAGTTCTGGTGAGGCCTGCAGCTGAAAGATCCCGAAACCTGGGGTGTGGCCAGAGAACTGTATAAGCTTCCCTGGAGTACAATAAAGTTAGTATTCTTGTCTCAAGGATGTCCCATGTCCCCATGTCTCTGACTGTATGTGTTCGTGTGTTTTAAAGTCTCCAGCCTGGTTCCTGGCTCACGTACCATAAAGAACAGAGCAAACGTGGTTTTTTACAAGACACTATATGTTGCCATGCTATCCTCACTAGCAGCATAGTGGTATGCCTATTATGGGGTAACTAAGCACTTTCTCAACGGAAATTAGGCTTAGGAGGGGATTGCCTGCCTGGCACTGTAATCCTGATCAAAAGCACATAGCTGGGGAGGTCATAGGAAAGATCCTGCTATTGTAAATTTGCTAGATAGTCATGCTATTGGATTACCTTCTAAATACGTATGCTTATACCCATAGACGTGGTTGTTCTCAGCCGCGGTCAGAGGAGCTTCCTTTTGCAGTGGGCAGCAGTCACTTAGAGATGTAGAACTGACCACAGTGCAGAAGATAAGGGACTGGGCACTGAGCCTGAGTGGGTGGCTTTGTAAACCTCATCACCACCAAGGCTCAGAGAACATTGCTGAAATAATAAATGATCTGGAGGATTTTATGTGTCCGTACATGTCTACACTACACACACACACACACACACACACACACACACACGCACACACACGTGAACTTCCTAAACACTAAGTACTTAAATTATGTTCTTAAAATCTAGGATAATTGATAGTTAAAATTATTTCATTTATCCCTAGATCATTTTAACAGACAGAATAAGTATTTGACGATCTTTGTGAGAGTACTTAGGGTCCCATATTTAACATAATTTCTCATCATAAGAATGGATTTTGTAGAATTCTTCACAGGAGGCTTTAGGAGACATTTGATAATATGAGTGTAATTTGAATAACACTTTACATTTTTCTTATGGTAATACATTGGGTATATGAAGATAAACTTTACGATACCTGTATTTCAGATAAAGAAAGTGACCCCCACAACATTATTAATAGAAAGAGCTCAAGGGTTTTTACTGTTGTTGTTACTGTTTTGTTTCTGTCCATTCCTCTCTTTACTGTTCTCTTGGCTTCTACCTCCCCCAGAAAACCTTCTGCAATTCCAGCTTGCATACCATACTCATTTTAGGGATAGCTAACAGTAATCACTGATGTCCTGAGATTGTGCACTGTTATTTGGGCTGGGTTCTCTGACTACAAAGCAGAGGGCCTAGCTGGCTAGCCATTCAAGTCACTGGGTCTTGGCTCCATGATTCATTTTCCTTTATAAACAACAATAAAAACCCAGAATATGGTAAATAGAAGAAGACTGAAACAAAAGGAAACACTGAATACCTCTGGAGAAGCTGATTAGAATTCTTGCAATGAAATGTAGTTATTGAGGGAGAGTTTTCATGATGTTGATTAGGAAGAAGTGCTAACTGCTAGCAGGCTATTTCTTTGACAGGAAAATGATCTAATACACCCTTACATCCATTGGCCAGATAACTATCAACTGCTCTGTATTAGATGAAGTATAAAGTTTGGGAAACCCAGTGATGAACCACGGCACACTCCCCCAGGACTTTTCCTCCAGACACATCCAGCAGTGAGTAGCTGGGGACAATGGCAAATGTCCAGCTTCTGAGACAAGACCATCAAGCCACACCAGAGTCCGTTGGAGTCTAGGGTAGAGTTCCAGTCTCAGAGGAAAACAACAACACGAGACAGGAAGCCAGTGCAGACACTCGGGGCAGACTAAATGAGGATGATGGAGAGAAGAGGGCAAAGTCACAGCTTGATAAACACACAGCCCATGGGTAGAGAAGCCTAGGGAAGAGACGCCACGAATGGAAAGGTTACCCTCACCCCATCCACTGAAGCCGAGTGTAGGGAACTGGGCGGCACTGAGCCAACATGGACTTTGTTCAGCTACCAAAAGACAATTGCCATATGGTGTATTCAAAGTGCTCAATTTTAGTAACCATTTTTAATTAGCTCTTCTTAGAAGATTTTAATGTTTTGTCTTCCCTAAAGTTAAATTATCATGTGTATTATGAAAGGAATCCAAGTCAATTACATCTTCCAACAAAGCAAGAAAAATCATTTTGTTGATAATATGTTTTCCTCACTCACCAAACAGCCTCAGTTTCAACAACTTGAGTAGAAAAAGGGGTAGAAGCTCTCTGAAACTGGCAACTCTCCAAGTAGAAGCTGGCCATTTCCGCACCACTAAATATCCCCAGAATCTAAGATGAATATTTCAGAGCATTCCTTTATTTGGGACAAAAGAGATCACAAACTGAAATGTTTAATTCATGTATCAGAATCCTACCACCTTTGTGATTTCTATGCTATAAATTTATAAAGCCCTCCTATTTTACTGAGGTTTCTGGGAAATTTGAGATTCTAGTTCTCTCAAAACCAGCTTGCTTGAAGTTCTGCAGAAATATCGGCAAGCACTAAGAAGTTATGTGCATTTGAACTTTATGTAAATAACAGGTGAGTTAGTCATTCCACCTATTTTATGCTGTGTTCCACATTCTATGCGTGTGTCCTGCCTAGTTCTGTGTCAGCTTGACGGTAGCTAGAGGACTCTGAAAGGAGGGAACCTCAGCTGAGAAAATACCTCCTGGCGGAGGGCCAAGCCCATTGTGGGTGGAGTCATCCTAGGTTGGTGGTCCTGGGTTCTATAAGAAAGCAAGCTGAGCAAGCCATGGGGAGCAAGCCAGTAAGCAGCACCCCTCCATGGTCTCTGCATCAGCTCCTGCCTCCAGGTTCCTGCCCTGCTGGGATTCTTGTCCTGACTTCCTTCAATGATGAACACTGGTGTGGAAATATATGTCAAATAACCTTTCATTATCCAGGTTGCTTTTGGCCATCATGTTTTATCATAACAAGAGTAACACTAAGACAATAGGCATTACCCATGGGAAAGAATACATCATATATGTGTGTTATTATACATATTAAATGTGAGTATGTGTGAGAGCATGTATTGTACTCTCTGGAAGAAGACCAAATGACTACAGGAGCCCTAAAGACAGAGCAGGGTGTCCTAACTGCTGGACATTTCCAGTTTGTCATTGCCACAGGATGCACTATGCTCAGGATCAGGTGGAGCTCAGGAGATTCTTCCTGACTGAGCAGAGCGCTAGGACTGTCCGTCAGAATCAGAAAACAGCCAGCAAGGGCCAGGGCCAGGGCCAGGGCCTGGCATCGTAGGTAGGGGAGTCATGCCACCTGCTTCAAGGACCTTATGTTTGTCTTTACCGTGAGTGAAGGAATCGCAGACCTCTCTCCTAGAGCACAGCTACGGCTGTGCTGAGTGCCCAGAAGCTAGCTAAGTGGCGGCACACTTCAGAGTGTTTAAAACCCAGAAAGCCACAGATATTGTTTGCAAAATTGCTTGTTTCTTTACAATACCACTATTCATTATGTTTCATCCACTATGCCAGGCTTCCTTTTGGGCCACCAACCAGCTCCCAAATCATGACCCGGAAACAATATTAGTTATAATTTTCTGCCTTATCTTAATGCTTGTTCCTCCAGCTCTTATAACTTAAATTAATGTGTTTCTCTTCATCTACATTTTGCCTGGAGGCTTTTTACTTTTGTTTCATTCTGTGTGTCCTGTTGTCACTGAAGACTTTGTGTCTGGCTGGTGGCTGCCTGGCTTCTGACTCCACGCCTGTCTCTTTCTTTCTCCCTTGTTTTCTTATCTCTAGTTCTCTCTTCTCCCAAGCCTAGATTCCTCCTCCTATTTATTCTCTCTGTCCACCAGCTCCACCTATCCCTCACCTGTCTAGCTATTGGTCATTCAGCATTTCATTAAACCAATCAGGAGCCTTAGGCAGGCAAGATGAAACAAAGTAACTCATCTTTACATAATTAAACATATGTAGCACAAACAAATGCAATACATCTTTGCATCTTTAATGAAGGCATCAGAGACAAAATGCAACACACCTTCACATAATTAAAGTAATATTCCACAGCATAAACAAATGTGACACATCTTTACCTAGTTAAAATAATATTCCACAACAATCTACTCCCCAGCTGCTTCTACAGGACATCCTAGTACAACAGTGGGGTTTACAAGAGAATATGTACAATTCTCTTGAAGGAGCAATGATGGCTTCTGAGAGAAGGAAATGTTTCTTAGGGATGAAGCAGGGGCCTGTGAACCAATCGTAAAGTCGGGAGAGATCTGGGCAGCAGAGCAGTTCAACTACAAGCAAATGTTTTGTGCCCGAGTGAATGTATTTAGTAGACGGTATGTGATAGAGTCCCAAGGAGGTGGGGAAAGAGAAACGTCTACGCCACTCAGAGAGAGTCCTGAGAAGACAAAAGAGGATATGCAGCCTTTATGGTTCACAAATAGCAATTGCTGTTTGGTGGAACCATACTATTATGTGTGTGTATTTATTCTCTCTGCCTGCCAACCTCCCTCCACCCTCATCTCTCTTCTGCCTAACTATTGGCTATTCAGCTTTTCATTATCCTGGCAAGGCCCTCTCTGAATGTTCTTACCTTTATCTGCCCATAGTATGAAGAGGCGGGAATGTGCATGTGTAGAGCCTCAGAATAATTGTTTGCCATCCTACCACCATCCATACAGAGCAGCTATTGGCAGTTACTCCTCCATACTAATACGGTAGAAGGCCTGGATGTGTAGTGAAGGAAGTTTGCTTAGGGTTTCATCTCAGTGACGAAGAACACGTCGCATGCCTCATGTTTCAGCAGCAGATCAAAAGGTGGATCCTGTCAACTGTCACGTTATATCCAGCTGACACAGAATGAACAAACATCTTACATGCTCACAGTCTGGCTGCACAAGGTGAGTGTTCATTTGGCTCCCATTTTGTTGATGACATATAAAAATCATGTGTGTCGCAGTGAGACTGGGAAGTAACCAGTTGCATGTCTTGAGCTTCAGATAACTCAGTGTACAATAGTAGATGATA